CGGCGGCTCCGAGCATTAGCGGTTGCTCCACACTTACCAAGGTCATCATCTCGCAGAGCGCTCAATCCGTTACGAGGAGAAACGCTGTCCCCAAATATCGAGATATCAGAGCTCCATCCATCACCACCATTCGTAGATCAACCTCTGTCACCACGAACACTAATTTCAACGCAGACGCCTTCGCTCTCTTCGTCTTCTACTGAAGAAGCTTTGGCTGAGATATTCGGTGATGTTCCAAGGGAGCTGGTTCTAGCGTATGACGGCCATTCCACCCACAAGAATGTTGGCGAGGTTCTTCCTGCTAGAGTTAGTATGCTGTTGGACGAGATGGAGGACATCAATGACCGTGATATATTCGTTGACATTGGCTCTGGGCTCGGGAACGTTGTGGCCCAAGTGGTGCTATCAACGAATGTTTACCGTGCCGTCGGAATTGAACCCCAACAACACGGGCAGACTGCAGGAATTCAAGCCATCAACCAAAGTTTGTTTGCTTGGGCTTTTCGTGACCGGGCTCCATTTATTTGTAAGGATGTCCGCGATATGCGTCTCGGGAGTATGTCACCCTTCGCAGAAGTCACAATCGTGTACTGGAACAATGTAATTTTCGAGTCTTCTGTGATCGAACATGTCAAGCAACAACTACAATATATGTCAGATATCCGCTTCCTGCTGAGTTGCATGAATTTCTGTCCGCGCCACCGCACTCTCTGTTTCAACCTCTTCTGCCCCTCATTCAGTCTCAAAAAAGGTTGTCGGGGTTCCCATGCAGCTGGAAATCCGATCCTCTCGAGGTTTACATTTACAAGTCAACGTACAATGAATGAGAAGTGTTGTAGTTGCATTTCTAGAGTAAAACGTCAGCGCATGCTATGCTGCAGCTCATTCATTGATACGTGATTTCCATAATAAAACCAAGTCACTTACAAACATTTTTGCAAAGTAAAAACTAGATATTTACCTACATCTACTCAAACGACAAGTGAGCACACTGCTGTTCTGTTGGTAGCACTGCCTTGCTGTTTCAACTTGTATAGCTCAGAGCTGGTGCGCACTTTGCCTTTGTTGGAGTAGAGCTGGCGAGGAAGGTAGTAGCGATGGTACTTGTCCCAACAGGTCCACGCTACGTGAGGACACATAAAGCTCTTTGGAGCTGCCGTATGAACTACTTGGCACAAGCTCACCCCGTGCATTACGCAGTAGTCCGTAGCTTCAGTCGCATAGCGGTCTTCCCACCGGCAAACCACACATTAGCGACGCTTGCGGCTCATTTCTCTGAATAGCTGCTTCGAGGACACTGCCGAGCAACGCTTCAGAGGACTTCCAGCAACGTCATCCACACCTTCTCTTCCTACACTCCATACTCACTCACAGGAGACTGAGGACTTGTTACGTTGGCTGGTTGGGTATCCGTGAAAAGCATCACCCTCTCGCTTAGAGCCTCCTTCCACTTGCCCGTGAACAGCTCTGGGATCAGTTGAACCATGAAGTCTCGATGCGGATCGCGGTCTGTGCTCATATCGACGGCGAGCTTGCGTGTCAAGAATGCATTAGCTCGTGCAACATCAACTAGCGCCAATCCAAGTTTCTTGTACCACTTCTCGAATGAATGCCCGTCCGCCACAGAGAATCGACCACGAATTTGATCAAGTCGATCTACCCCTTGCTTGTAGGTGTTATACTCCTTAACGCATGTTGGAGCACTAAACGTTATTTTCTCTGCTTTAACCTGACGCTGCACTGTCGTTAGTGTAGATGCATCCGCGTTAGAAATCACGCTAACTATCGCGCTGTCAAACCACAAGGCAGCTACAATGTTGTGCGGGCTCGACACTGCTTGCCGCGATGTTTCACGAGAGCATTCTTTCTTCTCAATGAGCACGTGACGGAGGGAATGGGCGCTAGACTTGCGAACTGTGCCTCGCGAATACAACCCCTTCACTTTCAACGCCTCCAGTAACTGAACCGAGGTGTAGTAATTGTCGGAGTTCACCACACGCCGTGAGCCGTACACTGGGTGGACCACTTCTAGAGCGCACTGCTGTATAACCGAGGATTCCGATAGCTCTTCCGTAAGTGCTGTTTCAGGTGTCGTTACACCAGCAAGACGGTCATTGATAGTGCTGCGGCAATGCGGACGAAAGTTGAGCGAGATCCACGATGTAGCGCAGCAGAGCATATAAATCCGAAAGTGATACTTGCCCACGGGCTTCATCGGGTTGTACACAATTAGTGGATTTCCAAGCCTAGAGTGGCACGCAACACTGGCATCGTCCAAAGCCACATCCCTACCCACTTCAACGTACTTCGACCCAGTCGACTTCAGAAGATTGAGCAGAGGTCGGATACGGGCTGCTTGGTCTTCGTTTGTTCCATCAGGAGGAACACATTGAAACGTAAATGCCTGGCGAAGCTGCTTGAAGCGGCGAAGTGGCATGATACTGTCTAGGCCAACGGAAGTGCCTCCGAAAATTGAATCCTCGACCTGAGTTCCCCAGTAGTTGCTAAATTCGCCTTTGTCGATCAATGCCATGTAGAATAGAATGCCTAAGAAGGTCATGATCTCTCGTATCGTGAATGGAATTCCAATCGACATGTTATTCTGGTGAGCATTTGTGTTCATCTCTCCGACGACTTGTTGCCAGAAAGATACCGCGATATATACAAAAAAGCTCGATGACGCGGAGTGCTCGAAGATATGACGGAGCTCTGGGCGGATGCTGGTCGTCGTGGACATGTCGGCATGATGCTACAGGTCGGTTGGCTCCGTCATATGACTTTATGGGTCAAAGCGAAAGTTTTTCATAGCCTCCACCTCAGCAACAGTGCTTGGTCGCAGTGTTGGTGGTTCATAGGCTTCCATACATATCTCTAATCCGTCATCAGAACCGTCAATCTGCATAACTTCTCCGGGACCAACAGCACAGAGCTGCCCCCAACCCGGCCCAGTTGCGTGTCCGTGCAGTGAGGTGTAGTTCGTGTTTCCACGTTGGATCATGCTAAGTGTCAAATTCTCAACATGCGACTTGAATTGAGAGTCCAGCTATCTAATTTGATACAATCCTTTCACAATACGACACACTCTTCCGATGATGTAGGCGTTCCCACACCTACGTACTTCTTTGACGAAACCCAACGTTCCTTCGCTGGTGAAAACGCCACTAATGTGTTCACGTATAACGCGGCAATCGAGGGCGACTGATCTGATGATCTTCGGCGTGTATCCGACACAGGCGGCGGTGTAGCGGAGACTTGGTTGCCGCTAACCGAAGGTGCCTGAGAAGATGCGGGTGATGGCGGAGCTGCAGCGCGCAGGCTCAGAGATGGCACTTCAGCTTGAGAGCGCGTAGGTATGAGATCTGTAGATGTCGAATCCATCTCACTATCATGAGCCGAAGATTGGATGCGGGATTCAACTGTAGCAGCTATATGTGGGGGTGATACTGCCGCTTCATAATTCATAGCAGCACTAAGATTACACCGAGGCTTGTTCTTGGATCCTTTCGGGCGGCCGCTTTTGGGCTTTGACGCTTCCGTCGCATCCGCGCCATGCTTTGGCTTGTTTGTCGATCCCTTCGACCTTCCCCGCTTTCGAGGCCTCGCTGAGTCGGGGGCTACAGCAGCAGATGCAGCTTCAACGCCATCTTGTTGTGACCTCGAATCTTGAATAGCGTTGTTGGTGACTGCGGTGCTGGCTCCCTCATCCTGTCCAGCCACCGTCATCTGCTCACCACCAGCTCCATCAACGATACTATGTAGCAGAACACCACCAGCCTGCCTTGTCACCGGCGCGCTATCTATCAGTGGCGCATGGTTATCCTGCGACGAACCCCCTGCTCTACGTTCACGACTGCGGTCGATGTCCTCGCGCCAACTCTCCATCTTGCCCAAAGGCTTCTCGACGGACGCAATTCAGTTCTGGTGAAACAGGAGGGATGAAATATAGTTTGACATTTACTTACTGAAATCAAGATATTTACGCACCAACTTTTACATAGAGTTTTAGTCTCCCCTTCGAATTAATACACAGTGCCGAAGTATCTTACCATGTCGAAGTAAACTGCGATATCAAGAGGTCAGGATGAAGCTCAACCAAAAGGTGCTATCCAGCCTTCCAATGATTATGCACGCTATCCCATCGATTTCATGATGTGGAGTGGGATTCAAAGTCACTGTTTTTACCCATCTTCGGTTGATTATTGTCCAATGCCCGAGCGCTGTCATTTCCCTGAGCGAAACGTTTTTTTTAACCAATAAAAATATGCCTACAAAAAAGTACCGTAGCTGATGAAAGGGGTCAAAATGCTCCCTTTCGCTCTAGTTTTGGAACCAGAAAGCAAATGGAAGTCACAAGCGATCTAGACACCGAAGTACCGTGAATTATGAAAAGGGTCAAAATGCCCCACTTGACGCCTTATCGTCTTGGCTTGCATGGTATAATTAAACGAAGTCAAAACTAGGCGTTCACGAAAGGGTTAAAACATCTTTTAACAATGACACACACATGATATTTTTTATCTCTTACAGTACTGAACAAGTTCAAAATTGCGAAGTAGGAGCAGGAGATGCGTCTAGTGAATTTTACTAATGCTCGAAGAATGTTTTAATTATCTTTTTCTTAAAAAGCAATAATTGTGTGAAATCCGCAAAAAGTAAAGTAACAAATAGCCTATAAGTTATTATTAATAATTTCGAAGCTTACATATCCCACTGGGATTCCCAGCCTTCGCAAACCCTACGACAGGCGATGCGGTAAGAAACTTACGGACTCTTCCATCATCAGATGGGATCTGGTTATAGTCTGTCACACACTCTGTGATAGGCCATTATTCGAATTGTCAAAACGACCGTACCGAACATCGGCGCACAAACAGACAACACAAGCATGACTGGCGGGGTGTGTACCAGGCAGGCTGGTGGCACCACAGAACTGAATCAAAAGGATCATTCTCGAAATCGCCTGTCAGAAGTCGTACGAAACCGGTAACAACATACAAGATATGCGTGCGATCGCCATCCTTCTCGCTGTTGTGGCCACTATTTTTGCTAGCTTGCACGGTGTATCGGCTATTATCGCTGTAAATGCTGAGCCTGCTTCAAGCATCGACTCTGCAAGTACACACCTCAATTTTCAACGCCGTTTGAGACAAACGGGTGATGCATCGGATGAAGAGCGTGGTAATACCTGGTTCTCGGCGAAGATAGCCAAACTCATCGAACAGCGCAAGATCAACGCCATGATGACAAAGCTGACCAAGGGTAAATCGAAGGATGAGGTATCTAAGGTCAAGCAGGCATTCCAGGACAATGTGCTGGACGAACTCAAGGCATTGGTCGAGAAAGGATTCGCCCCAGATTCCTTTAAAACTGCCCTCGAAAAGCTGAGACCCGGTAACAAAGGAGGCGAGGATCTGGTAGCGTACTTCACAGCGTACTGGGATACTTTCCACAAGGCAAAAAAATTGTCTGGTGTGCGTAAGCAGAAGAAGCGAGTACCGCACGCAGCAGATGTATAATAAATGAGAGTGTGTCCGGCATGGTGTCGTCTTTCGTTCTTAGATGTACGGTACTGAGTCTACTGTAGAATTGTAGGTGTCGATAGTACTACGTATTAAGCCCTTTTAAACATGTAGTGGCACGTTTTAAACGGATCCTAAACTGTCCTATTTGTCCTAAAATTAGACTTGTCTTTATCTAAGTTTAACCGTTAACCACGGTTCAATGCAACAGCGTAAAGACCATAAAATCGGGAAAATAAAAAGTGCGGCTCTAAAAGTTATATAGACTCACGCTTGAAAAAAAAAAGTCATCACATTTTTTCAATCTTCGCATGTTTGCATTTTGATGGACATATTTCTTTTTACCACGTAAAAGTGCAAAGTTTGCTAGCAATTTAGCTATGGAACTTTTTACAACTGTTGCACTGAGATCGTGGTTTACGGTACGATTTTCAAGTTCAGTACTCCACCCCGTTTTCGCGGGGGTGGACCATATAGAATTTGCAAATAATACTTCATTTGGATTCAGGATCAATGCATCCGGAAGTTTATCAAAGATCCGAGGGCGCGAAAACGGCTGTACCACTACCTGCTTGCGAAAAATATAGATCGTTTTTAGGACAAATAGGACATTTTAGGACCCTAACGCTCCAAAAAGGTGACTTCAATAATTATACATGTAGTCACCTTGAATCACATAAAAGTAAAAGGTTTTACTTCAAAGCGGCACTAAATACCTAATCAAAATGTCAAGAAAAAGGTGGGTTCAGAATGCCACCAGCATCTTGGGGAGCAAATATGGCGCGTGTTGTCAAGGTCTACTGGGTAGCTTGTCGCCTAGACCCCGTTCGGTACGCTGGAACGATCATAATATGATCCTTCCATTTCTAAATTAGAACACTAGCAGTTCCAATCCTGTATTTCATGAGTGTTGCTGGCGTTTCTCATAAGTTTACTGATATGCTCATATCATTATGATAGTCGTTGGTTAAACATTAACTACGTAACAGGCAACTTAGGGAACGTGTTCGGTAATGGTTCGATGGTTCGCAGAGAAAGCGAAGCTGTCATTTCGCTAGATCACGCAGCACAAGAAACCCACTACCGAGCGTTTAAAAGGACTTGAAGCTCGTCAGCACTCTTAAACCAGCGATCTTAGACCAGTTTCTTTTTATGAAAGTAGGTCTGAAGATGCTTGGCCTGGTAGAAGCCCGTGACGAGCAATATAACAATCTGAAGACATGGACCAGCTCAGTGACGACATTCCATTTTGTGGCGAAGATCATTTGTCTTACCTGCAGCACAGACACCCAAGTAGCGCGCTGATTACTGCTCTCGATCGAAGACTGTAGCGTCATGCTTTTCTCCTGTATCAAGAAGAAAAAAAGCATAACAAGTCGTTCCTGGTGAGGCGTCGAACTATAGTACAGTCTACAGAACATCGGACCTTGGCATAGTCTTGATTGCGCTGAATAGCGCTCACGCGATCTCGCAGCTTCATGATTTCCAAGTGAAGATCATCCATCTGGTTCTTCTTGGCCAAATTCTGGTACTCCTCATGGCTCGTGCCCATACTGAGCTTCAACGCGAACCGCTAGTACGCACACATCCATTCTTTGTCAGAGAGGGCACGACTATACTACCAGCCAAAACGAAAAATAGCTCACCATCGAAGCGTCGTCTGGGAGCGCGTAGTTGGACGAGTCCAGACTGACGCAGACCCAGTGAGGTCCATTCTCCTGCGCCGTGAACGAAGTGGCTCCCTTTCACGTAAAATCAGTACGTCAGTACTCACGCAGCTCTCAATACTCAGTACTTTGTAGTCTACCTTTTGGCTAGCCGCCTCTTTCTTCACTAGCTTTTTCTCGTCCTCCCCCTTGCTCACATCAGGCGCGTAGAACGACACAACGGTCTTCTACACTCAGCCACCCATCTCCAGTCAGTGCCACTCGTAAGCCATCTCCGTTGTCTGCTTACCATTACATCCGTCGTGTCTGGAGACTCGTACTCGGCTCGGAACGTCGTCTCCTTGGGCACATCGACTAAGAAGCAGCGATGTCGCTGCCCAATTGTCACACCGCACCACATTAGCAGCAACTCAGCTACACGGCGTCGCAACCTGATGCGATACCTCCTTCGCCACGTTGAAATATAGCGCGTCCGTCGCGCCGACGATGCTCAGAAACACCAGCGAAACCAGCGCATTCCTCATGACGCTTTTGCTGACGCCAAGTCACCTCCAGGACCAAAGTCTCCTCCTCAACTCGTAGTCGTCGCTGATTGGGCGGAACTATTATGAATTTGACAACGAAGGTAATACAAACACAAAAAATTGCAAAAAACGAGTGTTTTTTGCAATTTTTTGAGCGTTTTTTGCAATTTTTTGTGTTTGTATTTTCCCACTTTTTTACGAGATAGATTCTTTCGTGTCGTTTGGACCTGAACCGATACATGTATTGACATGTGAAACCTGTCGTCACTAAAAGACCCCCCCCCAGTGTCGTGCTGACTGTAGCTTATCAACTTGCGACACTGCCAACTTTTCATGCAAACTTTAACAGTGAAAATCTTTTTATCAAGCAACCGTTCCACATTTTTCAACCAATTTGTTAGTGTTAGAAAAAAGCAAGCAATTGTGTCAGGGATGCCAAGCATTTGCTAGTTACACACAAGACAAACTCAAACGGCTGTGGAACACTACATGTAGACCACATACATTACCTTACCATAAAAAATGAGAGCTTAGAGAGACCGTTGGCACCCGCAGCGAAGCGGGGGCTGCAATGGTCGTCGCGTAGCCCGAAAAAGGAGCTTACAGTCTATTAATACTTTAGACACCTACAGACGATCCTCTCTGTTTTGATATCCCCAATAGTAATTCCCTCCAAATAAAATTGTTGAAAGGGACAGCTTGCTTACAAAATTAAGATAAACTGACCTCTATCCTCTCATTAGTGAAGTAATACTACTGTACTTCGTATGATTTTGTTTAATGACTTGAAACGCTTAGGCAGTTTTCAACACAGCACCGACAACGCGTCAAAGCACAATTAGGGACCCTTATCGGACTACAGATCATTCTTCTCGAAAGCAAAATCCACCTAATTTTTAACGTTTTTTTTTTCTTCGAACAAAGCACAAAATATCAGCGCACAATGAAAGCAGCACTCTGACGATTTGTTTTTCATGTTCATTGTCAAACCCAGTGTCTAATATCCAGCGCATGTTCGGTGCGCACACTGCAGCGACAAGTTCACTTACAAAATTTCTGCCCTACAGCTCTGACTGTTTCCCCGAAACCGCAGGTCCAGACTCTTGATGCTTCAGATCGGCGTTGCTCCACTCTCTCAGTCCATTGTCACCGCTTTCATAGTCGACAACCATTCCCTTCGCGATGGCACGGGTCGTAATCTGACGAAACAGCACCACATTTAGTTATCACAAAAAAGTTAGGCGAGTCAAAAAGTCAACTTACGCTTGGTAACAGATATCCAGCCAGCGACTCTACAGTACGAGCAAGACTTCCACGATCAATAAGTCCCGGTCGAAAAATCGACGTCCGCTCAAATTCCATCTTCTTAACGTTTTCCTCCACTTCCCCTTTCGTCTGTGGATAAAGGAACCAACTGTCCTTGTCCGCATTCTGCGACAAAGTAGGCCGAATTAGACTCAGCTGATTCAATCTCCCTCTTGACGCAATAATACACTCGAGATGACCCCTTACACTGGCTGTAAGCAGTCCGAAATACGGCACTCCCGCATCTTTTGCCAGCTCGGCAAACTTGGTCACATACTCCAAATCGACTGCTCAAATATCCCAGAGTTTAGTTCCCTAATTTCACCCTTAACTTTAATATCCAGAATCATCGTGGACCTTTGCGAAAAGCTTCAGCCGAGCCTGCATCTTTGCGAGTCGTGCCCAAACACGAAAACGCAGCGTCGACACTGACAGGGATCTTGTTCCAGTCGCGACCCAGCTCCTCAAAGTCAACAGGAATAATTTCCAGTTTGTTCTGAGCTGCAGACACGTCCATCGAAGGAAATGCTTCCCCCCATTGAGTTTCAGGGACTTCCCGGCGTGTGAGAGCGATCACTTTAGTGCACGATGGGCTTTGGACCAGCTCGGCCACTAAATCGCGGCCGACCGCGCCTGTAGCGCCCTGGACGAGAGCGACGTATTCCATTGTCAGATTTCGAAATACGAGCTCCTAAGTTGCGCATTGTTTTAAAAAAAGTTGCAGCAACAAAGCTATGTTGCACTAACGCGTTTCGTCAGCAAAGAAAACTTTTTGTAGACGAAACGAAATTTACGAAATGATTTGTTTGACTACATGTATGAACACTCGCCACAACCAAATCATCGGACGTCGATTTACAACATCAAACTTGACGCGACAGTGCCTCAGACACAGCTACTGCTATCGGCCACGAAGACGCCGTCCGAGTTCTCGCACCCGCATTTTCCTGTTGTGGGGTCCTTGATGCAACCCGTTCCCACATCGCTGTCGGTACCATTACCACTGTTTACAGTAGTTCGTTAGTATGAGCAGTTTCCTCGAGAAAATATAAAAAAACTCTTACCTCCAAAAGAACGTCCAGCAGTCGTCGTTGTCCTCCATCTCGTCCGCCGTCGGCGAGTCGCACGTGTTCGCTGAGCACGTGCCGTACGGGTAGCCGTTGTTACCGTCGTACTGGTGATCCGTCACGAAGACAGCAAAGGTCTGAGTCTTGAAGGTGCGAGTGTTGTGCGAGCACTCAGCCGCCTGAATAGCCTTGGAGACTTTGGTCACAGACTGTGACTACAGCTGCACTGTGACTCACAGTGCAGCTGTAGGCACTGGGACACTTGCCCTTCGAATTGGAGCTACATGGGTCCAGGGTCGCAGACACGAGTGCGGGGGCAGCGAGCAGCGCAAGAGCAAAAGTGATGCGCATATTGGTTGGATGGATTTATGCTGTAGAAGGAGAAAAGGAAAGTGAGTTCATGTTGCTTGGCCAACTTCTTCTTTGACTTGTTGACATTGTAAAGTTTTTCCAGTCGTTTACACGACTTCCTAACCTATCGCAACTTTTGTGGCCCTGGACTTAACACTCTGGGCACGTGCCGTGCTAGCTTTACAGATGGTCTAGTACATGTTGGGCCCTATTCAGGATACCAGTCGGCTTTACTTTTTGCTAGTATTTCGATGCATCGGCGACTTCAACAACTGGTACAGTATGCATTGTTGAGTAGCGTCCCCGCCTCACCACCCGTACCAGGTACGTGCTCATTGTTGCAATACCAGCTAAAATAGTATTTTTAAATTAATTTAGTCATTCATACAAAGACAGGTTATCAGAAGAAACTAGCTGCTACTTCTGAAGTCTGCCTCCAATATACTCTGAAGTAATTTTTTTACCGGTACCGTGTTGCTTAAAGATGAACCCAGAACCATGGACACAAACGGATGGCAACCGTATCCGGATATGAAGTGATCGCTTGAACATGCTATTAACGTGGATGCAACAACAACACTTCTGGTATTTTTAATGAAAAAACAAAAATAAGAGCAACCGGTCCCGTCAACCAGATTTTTAGGATTGTACGGAGAAACAATCCGTTTTTTGCTCACGCTTAGTCACGTGGATGACTTGTTGACAATAAAAACTGAGTTATTTTTGCCAGAAATAAGGAAACAAGGCTTCTCTAGAAAGCTTAAGAAAGTAACAAATACATGTAGAATCCATGTCGAAGTAGAATCCAACATCTCGCTTCATGCTAACCCTACCCCTCCGTTATTAAGCTTCCGATTGGCTCGCTGTTTGCAAAAAGCTGCATGTGCGAGTTAGATCCATTTAATTTTGCTGCTAGATAGACGGGCGTGTCTAGCTTATTATTAGGACGTCTAGCAACTGTGAGATGGCCCACTTTCCGATTCTATTAATAGTAATCAAAGCTCGGCCACTAGGTAATCTTGAACTCTTACTGGTACCGCTTTTAACAGTAACATGAAAAAGGAACTTTCGCGTCAGTATTCGTCTAGCAATCCTTGTAAGCAATACTTTTTTTGTAAGCCTGGGCACGATTTATATCGATCTTTCGAGAGTGCTGTAAGGTAATAATGAAGTTTATGAAATGAAATAGCTTACGAAGTGTGGAGAGTTTCGAGTAAGTCGGTGGCCACCGTCCTAGATGTCGTATGCTGCTAGACCGACTCCGATCCTCATTTGTCATCGTTACACATAGACACTAGCGTTTAACCCTCCACATCCGCTACCTGCACAAACCCCAGAGCGACGAGGTTATTTATTAAACTGTGATGCCTACTGAAAATATAGATGCATAGAATGTAGAATTTAGAAGGACTACTTTAGAGCATTCAATTTGCACTATTTTGAGCTTGCACCCTTTTTTTAAATTTAAGCTTATCAGATCTGATTCCTCAATAATCCTTGGTTTGCAGTTCACCAAGATGGCTCCATCGGCGCGTGTGTACGCCGCGCTTGGCACGAACCTGGGTGTGTCCGTTCTTCTTGCTTGTATTGCTCTATCCTCAGGCTAACCCTTTTTTTTTAATCCACAAGGTGACAAAGTGGCGAATTTGGAGAATGCGCTGGCCATGTTGACACAAACGGTTGGCCCAGTAGAAGCGACCTCCCGCCTGTACACTACAGCGCCGCAATACGTAGAAGACCAGCCTGCCTTCCTCAACATCGTAGCCAGACTACGCACGCACCTCAAACCTAAAGAACTACTCGGGGCCTTCAAGACCATCGAGCGGGAGATCGGACGCACGCCATCACTCAGGTGCGGACTTAATCGAATGGTGACAAGGTAAAACAACTTTAATTCAATGCGGACTTAACAGATGGGGACCCCGACTCATCGACGTGGACATTTTACTGTACGACGACCTGGTCCTCAAGACGGACACGGAAGAAGGACCATTGATTGTCCCCCACGAGCGCATCGCTGAACGAGATTTTGTACTCGCTCCTCTATGTGATGTGGCTCCAGGTAAAGTGCGCAGTCATATATATATATATATATTTTTAACTATTTCAAATATTTTATTTTTTTTGTCAGACTTGATGCACCCTGTGTTGAAGCAGTCAATGCAGCAGCTGTACGACACATTACAAGCTGAGGAACAGCGTTATGTGCCTCCAGTACCGATGCTCCCTGTGGATAAGAACACACCGTGGTCTTTGGGGAGTAAGACGTTCGTCATGGGGATCGTGAATGTCACTCCCGATAGTTTTAGTGACGGAGCGGAGCTCGAGACGGCGGCTGCTGCAGTGCAGAAGGCGTTGGAGATGGCGCGAGCTGGTGTGGATATTATTGACATTGGCGGCGAGTCGAGTCGTCCTGGAGCGGAGTCGGTGACGCAAGACGAGGAACTGAGTCGCGTGCTGCCGGTGATTCGTGGCATTCGCGAGAAGAGCAAGATTTCCATTTCTATCGACACCACGAAGGCGGAAGTTGCTCGACAGGCGATTGAAGCAGGAGCGAACATCGTCAACGACATTTCTGCTGGGCTAAACGACACTGAAATGTTGGCTACTGTCGCGAAGCTACGAGTTCCAGTAAGTTTTATGTTTTTTTTTATTGATACTATAAGTTGGAATTTTATTTAACTGTTACCATGTTCGTGAGTATGCAGATTGTGTTGATGCACATGCGAGGCACGCCGAAGACTATGACTGGACTCAAGGTGCGTCCTCCGACAGCGCAGATTGTTGTTAAGATACCAACGTTATTGTTACCTGTGTGCGTTAGGAGTACGAGGATGTTGTAACTGAAGTTAGCGACGTTCTTAACGAACGTGTGGCGGCTGCTGAGGCGGCTGGGATCTTCCGCTGGAACATCGTCCTGGACCCAGGCATCGGATTTGCCAAAGCTCGCGTTCTCAACCTGAAGCTGCTACGGAACCTGTCGACGGTTAAGCAAACCTGCCACGGACTTCCTTTGCTGGTACGTTTAAATCTCCTTCGCTCCATTTTCTCAACACTAACGACTTAAATATAGGTGGGTTCATCTCGCAAGGGCTTTATCGGCGAGATCTGCGGTCGCCCGGACCCGAAAGACCGAGCTTGGGGTACCGCTGCCACATGCTGCGCTGCCATCGAGCAAGGAGTCGACATCTTGCGTGTGCACGACGCAGCGGAGATGGTGGACGTGGCCAAAATGTCGGATGCTATTTGGCGTCAAGGATAGAAAAATGTTAAAGCACCGTAAAAAATAACATGGTTTAGCCCACTTTTTTTTAGCTGTTACGAATTTAGCTGCATGATAAATACCCCCATCGAACCCACAAGAGCACTTCGATCTTCTCTAGGAAGATGGCGGACGATCAGAACAATATTCGGGATGCTGAGCTCGCGAATGACAGCGAGACTCCTCACTTCGACGCGCTGTTCGCCCAATACGCCACTAGCAACGGGTTCGTCGACTAAAAGTCTTTAGGACGACAACTTGGGTAATAACGTCTTTTATTTTTCTATAGCACTTTTGGCACGGAACATCTTGGTCACTTGTTACTTGAAATGGGCTTCAACGCCGCCCCGAAGGTCTTGGATCGTGCACTAGACGACATGGATCCCAATGCTACTGGCGAGATCTCGAAGTTGACATTCCTCGAATGGTTCGAGGAGAATGCAGACGACATTGACGACGCCCCTGCCGCTTCAGCACACTCGTCCCTTGCCGTGTCTTGTCGTAGTCAACAACAGGATGAAGCTTACTCGGAGCTACAAAGCGCCATGTTGGATGCTAAGAAACAGCGCAAACAAGCTGAGAATGACGCGCAGCTCCTCGCCAACCGCCTCGCTCACCTCAGAGCGGAAGACGTTCGAGCCCAGAAGCGGATCGAAGAAGCTAAACGACGCGCTCGAGAGATCGAAGCTGTCAAGAAGCGCAACGAAGACAAGCTACGCGCGAAACAAGAGGCTCTGGAGCAGATGCAACGTGACATCAAGGCTCAACGCGAGTACAATACCGCAGTGCAGTCCTCGGCACGTGAACGTCGCAACCAAGTCATTGCGGGGTACACCTCGCAACGTGCTCAGCTCGTACAGGACGCACGAGCGGAGAGGAAGACCAACTTGCACCACATTAGGCAACAACGGGAGATGGATCGGTCGTGGCTGGCGGAGCGTTCGCAGGAGATCCGAGACAAGGAGAGACGCGTCATTCGTCAGCGTCAGGCGGTGCAGAAGAGCTACGAGAAGGAGCTGGTCAACAAAGCTCGAGACAATTTGGCGCAGGAGCACGAGAAGCGATTGCTGTCCGAGAAGAAGATTTACAGTATGGAGGCGGAGGAGGCGGAGCTGATTGCGAAGCTACGAGTGACGCAGGAGATGCAACGTGCAGCTTACGAAGAGCTTGAATTTGTCATGCAGGACGACGGCAGAGCGCTGTAAAGAAGGCTACAAAGGTTTATTAAAACCTGAACGACAAACATTAATTCCTTTAAATCTCTCGTGTTTGTTTCAAGTGCTTTATATTTTCTTGCAATTTCAGTCATATTCGAGTGCAGCAATGTTCTTGGCATAACTGAATGCATCGTCCAGTGCTAGCGAAGTGGACTGTAGAAGAGTTTGAGGGTTTTCTTGGCTTGTTGCATTTCTTTCATCCAGAACAGATCCTCCTTGTGGTACGTGAAGGTCGAGTTTAAATTAACATTCATGCTCAAACATCTTACTTGCTGTAAACTTCTGATGATATTGAAGTATGAGGCAGACCGCCGATGATCCTCGCACTTGCATGCCACAATTCGTCGTTGTGTTCTGTTCATGCAGGTTGCATGTGCTGTGGCACGATTGTACTTCGAAGTACATGCAATATAATAAATAATGAGCCATCATTTATTTATGAGGAGACCATGACGGTCATTGATGACGTTTAATGCAATTACATTTGAAGAGCACAATTGAGACAATGGAATGAGGTGGAACCACGAAGTAGTTATGACGTATTTTGGTCTCCTCTTTCTGCAGGTGGAAATACTGTAGCTGCTTGTACATTATTTTTGTCATAAGTAGAGTTAAGTGCTCCAAACCTCTTGATTTTCTTACGGAGTATACAGTAGTACGACGTAGTACTTATCACACCAACTCTACCGGTAGTACTATTATAGGGCGAGTCAATCGTTACCATATTACTAGTATTAAAAGAGTCGTTTGATGTGAAGCGTATATTATAACATGCATTGCGAGATACTCAATTTGTTTGCAATCTAAGTAACCTGAGACTGTTACAGGCCGATTTAGTGAGGACGGTAGTCTTCCGGGGTGATCTTGCGGAATAAATGCCAGAGAACCTTGTTCCACCACGTATTATACTCCCCTGAAAACTGTTTCTTGAGCTTCGTCGTCGTGCCAGCGCTCACACCAACGGCTCGCTCTTCCTTGCCGTGCAAATCTGAGTTGTCCTCAGGGAGTTCCTCTTTGGGCACATCTTCGTCGTCACTGAGACGGAAAACCACGTATTTGTTCTTGCCTTGTTGGAGATACACCCCCTCAACCGCTTCGCTGGCGTCTGGGTTCGTGATTGTGATTTTCTTCTTGACAACGGAGTCTGTGGACTTGGCGTCGGTACTTGCGAGCAGAGAGGCCAAAGTGGCTAGAATGACGAAGCGCACACGCATAATTTAGCTAGTGCTGGCGCGCTGTTGCCTTGAGCGAGCAAGTTCAGAAATAATTCCTGATCGCCAGGTCACCGATACAAACAAATCGTCGATTGGTCATCCTGTGATTGTCTTTGCGACCTGGGATTCACCAGATGCCCTCCTAGGTTTATTGGATACTGAGAGTGAGTATTGCACCTTACCGGTACGTGCTCTGTATTCCACCTGTACCGGTACTTATCATGAATTTTAACTAACTATTGAGTCATGGCAATTTTAGAAGGATAAATGAGGAAGCTACCCCTCTGTCTTATACCGGTATAGAGAGGCGTTAGACAGAGTAATAGAAACCAAATTGGACGGCTCTCGAGAATCTCGGTGCACTACTGTCACTAGCAGTACTACTGATCTATGCTTTGCAGGCTACAAATTGTAGCTAAGCTCATAGCCGCTTCCTGTGGCACGCTGTTACGCACAAGGACTTCCTCCCGAGCGGTGGCCTGCTTGAAGAACCTACCTTCAATCCAGGCATGCATTGAATCAGTAAAATCTTGAAACCCAGTTGCAAAATCGTGTTGATCTGTGGCCCGGCTTCCCATTTGTTGTATCCGTACGTTTCGTACCGCTTTATCAAAAGCACACTCAAAATTACAGATGGCTAATAAAATAATCACTGGTAAAGGCGCAAATTTGCATAAATAAAAATAAAATTATAGGCATTGAAATAAGAAACGGCAATTCAGGGCGAAATAAAGCAGACAAGTAAAGAAGCGCGCTAGTGACTTAGCGACGAAGGCTCATTTGCCAGGAGACGCTTTGAGCGAAAACAATCATCTCGAATTGCACCCTTCGCCAAAATAATTTGCTTAAGTTTTTGTTCGGGTGTACACACGAATATTTGGCAAAAATTACCAATTTTTATTAAAAATACATGTATTGACGTTTGTCCCTCACATTTTCTGATTAAGGAATCTCTCTGCGGCATCAGCGCTGCAGATTTCACTGACCGAACCCGCTATATAGTACCTGCTGAAAGTAAAGGCCATTTATTTGTTTCCACGCAATAGTATTCCTTTGTCGAGTTTTAGCTAAAATAAATCTTCCATTTATTAAAAAGTTCATAAAAAAGAGATAGCATTAATCTTTTTCTTCCCTGTTGGTCTAATTTGTTATTATTGCTTTCTGTCAAGCTGCTACTTCGAAAGTTCTCCACTCATTTGCAACACCCTGAAAAGCCTTCGTGTTCGCACCACTTAGCAAATTTCTGTCGGTTTAGCTATGATCAGATCCCGCGCACCCTTCACCAAGGTCTCGACTGGTCATACTACGCCACAGTTCACCCGCCGGTAGCGAGTAGAGTCTATGCCGCCACTGCCTATAATCTTGGCGTGATCACAATGACACTGGGCTCTTTCTGTTATTAAGGTTGTGGGTCAATAATGGTAAGTGTGTCGTATTTTAATAGGTGGACCGAAGGAGAGGCAAACGGCGACGATGTTGCGGCGGCACCCCCGAAGAAGACCATTCCGGGTCGTCAGGCTATTTCTTCTGCTAAACAGGAATCAAAGCTGAGAAGGACAGCAGTGTTGGTGGGTTTCAAGCATGTAAGCTACATTTGGACAAGTACGAGATCTACGTGTGCTTCACATTTCTGACACGTGTGTAGTGTTTCCCGGGTCCGAATCCCAAAACCGCCAACACAGTGATGCGGGGGCCAACCCGCACGGAAATAGTAGCCGAATGTATTAAAGTGTTGGTGATTTGAAAGATTGGAAAGTGAGCTCCTTGGGAGACCGTGAGTCTGGTTCTAACCCGCCCGTGCTCGCCAAGGTGAACCCAAAGATAGAGACAGACTGTCGTGGACAGACTGCTGAGAATGTACATGCAACGCACCAAAGGAAACATGCTGTTGGGCTTACTAAATCCCAAAACATATTTTTTAAGGCACAACATGCTCACCGAGATCACAGAGCTGCACCCATTGTCCGCAGCTGATTGACGTCGGACACCTTTGGACCCTTCTGTGATCTTCACTGTCGACATTACTCGGTGACTGAGTCTTCCGCTCAGCTCCTGATCTGGATGTCCATCATCAAGATCGATGTTCCACTACGGTGATCCCAAGCTGGAAACCCTGGAATCCATTACAACGTGCGATCACACAGTCGCCAACGCTCCATTTGTCCAAAAGACGACGTTCTAACACTCGGATAAACAATTTGCTAGCTGGCTACTATAATATGGAGCATGTAGAGTACTGATGTCGGGGTAGTAGTTACGAGCACGCGGTATATTCATGTAGATTACTAAAAGTCACTGATCAATTACCCAATTATCTACGGGCAGTCCTCCATCCCATTATTAACAAATTAATTTATTTTCTCGACCTCTGTCTGTAACCCCCTTCCAAAAGTCTGCAAGAACGATGGCGGTCTGGTTCGGAGCCCTCAAGTTGCACTATCCCGTTTCTAGCCCATAATGTTTTTCAGTAAAATGAGCTACTTGATTCCTCAGCATCTGAAATCCAGCCATACACTTCATAATATGCAAGAGCTCATATTATGAGCTCTTGCAAAATCTTTCAATATTCATTTTTATGCAGGTCGCATTAACAAAAAGCTTGTTCGTATCCCTCAAATGTAACCCTTTCCGGTAAAGCTCGATAATCGACCCCACTCCCGTGTTTACTTGTGACCGTCTTAGTTGACATTCTCCCCCTCGCGGATCCTGCTGAGGGAGTTTCGGCCAATAAACTCTTCTTGTTTCGCGATTTCCTGATCACCTCGGTACTAACCTTCATCTGCATTCATCAATTCCGGATAAGTGCTCCTATTCTCCTGTACCCTATTTGGCGAGCCATCGTGAATGCTATTTGGATATCAGCACTTTGCGTTGGCACTCTCTTCACACTTGCAATTACTATCGGATTTCCCATGCCATTCTCTCTGGTGGTGGTAACGCCAATATGGATAATCCTAATCTCGATCTCGATGGTAATCGAATGGAGGAACCAGATCCGTGATACCCCAGGAGCCGAGATTATGATCAACAATGTGATCAAGGTTTGGGTGTGTCAGGTGATTCTAGAATTTATCTACCCTCCATACTACTACATTTTCACGACGCTGCCGGATAGAAGTCAGATGGTATTCGCGTTATTATTACCTGTGATTAAGCTGGCCATGAGAAACGTTTTCGCTCGAACAGTTGTTCATCTCACCGACGAGATGCCTGAAGTTATCGTGTTCAACGTCGAAGTGTTCAATGCGCTGTTTGTATCCTACTGTATGCAGAACTCCCCATCGGTCTGGACAACGTTGGAGCTCATGTGTGTTGACGTCACCATGATATTGCTCTCCATGCGTGATATGGAGTCTACTCGTCGTGGTCTAAGGGAGTTGGAGCAGCGAATCGATCGAGGTAGAAATGGGGAAAGTTGTTGCACGTCGATTGGCTTGAAAGCGGACAATCGAAAGCCTAATACATTGGACAGGATAACGATGCTAGTGGAAAACGATACAAATCCTCGAAACAACGAAACTTCACTGAATCTTGAGCTTGAGCGTATACCAACCGACATAGCTATAGAAAGAAGATCCCCAGAGCTGGTAAAATCCAGTAGGAACAAAATTTTGGACGCTTCTTGTGTGGCATCTCTTCCTGTGCATGTAGCCGCGAGCAAACAACATGACAGCATCAAGGTTCAGCGGTTGAGTCTGCGGGGAAATCGCTACAAAAGCTCTCAGTCAAGTTAAGGTATACCCGTAAAGTGCAGACGTTGCTGTACATGGCTGAATTTCTCCTCCTCCTCAACTATGTCGAGGTTGTCGTTCCGCTTGTCTTCTGTAAGTAATTTACGGTCATCTATTGCGCCCCGGGAGCTAAGTTTCTGTGTCTTGAACTTCTACAGCATTATACATGTTTGCCACTTATCAACTGCCAAATCGCGAGTTTTACTCACAATTGCACGGAATGACACAAAGCGAGCTGATGCAGACGCTGGAAAACGTCATGTTCTACTGCTTGCTCCAGCTCGTGTCGCTACTACTTCTGGCATTTATTTTGCAGCGCAAGTTGGGTCTCTCGCCGATGCATCAGCTGGCTTTTGTTCTGGAGAAACAATACTCCGGAGTTCAGACGAGGCTTGTATTTTGGGTGTTTTACAATGTGCAAGCGTCTCTGCAGCACTATGGTACGTAAATTAAAAGATAGTCTTAGCTGTGAATCAGAAGATTTTAACCATCCAGTGTACAGGCTACGACTATACTTTCCGATTTCTGTGGCTGTCTAACACGACTGACACGATAGCAGGTAGAAGTGGCCAGACATAGATGCCATATTTTACCCAGTGAAATTGACGTTTCCCAGCTCCCTCCGCATGTAGCTGACTCTCGCTGCTACATATTGAAGACAGAGAAGTATCTGGGCTTGGCATTTGTTTTGTAGAACTGAAGTATTTATGCTTGATAGTCAATTTTGCTCCCAGTTATTAAGCTAAAATGTTAATTTGCGGGAGCAGATTTTTGATGGATAGATGTTATTAGAATGATTGCGAGCCACTGCCACATGTCGCAGAAACGCTTTTTGTGCAAAACTTTATCCTTCATTTACCGGTACTGATCTTCTCCGATGTCTTCGTACGTTGCGCTCGTGATTGGCTCGACTGGCGCCGTCGGCCGCGACCTTGTTTCCGAGCTCGTGGCTTCTGCCAAGTGCTCGAAGGTCATCGCTCTAGCGCGTCGCGACGTCCCCGAGTCAGCCTGGAGCTCGACGTTCCCGTCGTTGGACGCGGAAGCGGCCAAGAGCAAGCTGGAAGTTCGGCAGGTGGACTTCAACAGTCTCTCGGAGGCTGATATCAAGCCTTCAGACAAGGTGAACGCTGCCTTTTCATGTCTGGGCACGACCCGCAAAGACGCTGGCTCTGCTGAGGCCTTCCGCAAAGGTATAATGACATCGTCCAGGGCCGATTCTTGAGCTAAAGTTGCGCTAACGAATGCATATGTTGCTGTAGTGGATCTGGAGTACGTGACCAAGTTCGCCGAGCTGTCCAAAGCCGCAGACGTCCCGTATTTGGGTCTTTTGACGTCTCAGGGCGCCAACAAGGACAGCTGGTTCCTGTATCCCCAGACAAAGGGCGAAGTGGAGGACAAAGTGCAGCAAATGAAGTTCCAGCGTACGTCCATCTTCCGACCGGGAATGCTGCAGCGTGGAGAATTACTGCGAGGAACTGAGAAAATGTTCGGCTGGATGATTCCGGGGGTACGTACTCGTTGTTGGCTGTGAGGATCTGGGCATGAGCTTTACACTTGTGTTGTTGTAGTCATACCAGATCACGGTGAAGGCTGTGGCCAAAGGTATGGTATCCGACTATGAGAGCGGTGCGGAAGGTATTAAGGAGTGGAGTCACGCTGATCTGAAGAAGTTCGAATAAACTCTTCGTATAAGAACATAAAGTCTGAGAATATCTTTATCTCAGTACATTCTCTGCCTTCAGCTTGAAGCGCTGTTTGGCCAGCTTAGCCACGTCCTGAGCACAGCTCCAGTGCAGGGTGTGGCCTGATCCCTCGTGGCCGTAGTTGTGGACCACTACCGCCTTCTGTTTAGTCGCAGTGGCCTGCATTTCAAGACGCACACCTCCAGTGCGACCTGGTCGAAGGCCCGCCATCTTGTCAATCACTTTGCTGTTACGAACTTCAGGCCATAGACGACAGCACCGCTCCCACACCCCGTCAACATCATCGTCCTTGTTCTTTGTACTCCAGTTATGCTCCTGCACTGTCTCTCCCAACACAACGTCGCCATCCGGACGAGGGATGATGTACGCGTGCTGTCCATCTTTGTCGACCGACACCTTGGGCTCGTTCGGCTTTGAATGAAACACGTTGATGATCTGGCAGCGGAACGGAAATACCGTGTCGTATCCAGCCAGTTCCTTCGCCGCCAGTCCTGCAACAACAGCCAGTGCATCAGCCCACCTTACAGTTGTCGGATTGATTGTTGACTTCGCACCGGAACAATTCACCAGTAGGTCGCACGGTTCCTCGTCAAGAGAAATGACACGACGCTGCTCGAAAGTACCACCCTGCTTAGCGACTTCCTCGTGAAGCCACAGCATGAAAGGTCTATCCAAGACAAGAGCGTTAACGATGTCAGTATCTTCGTACCAAGCAGCCAACGTACTTTGGGTTTAGATGAGTGCGTCAAGCGCGAAGCCGTGCATCGCTCCAGACGTAATTTTAGTAGCGTCTTGTTGGCTTAGTAGACGGACGTTCTCGGCACAATATGGAGGAACTATTCGCGTATCACCATAGCTTAGATTTGTCTATGCCGTTAGAAAATCAACATGCGTCGCACTCATCGTTTGCGGCGCTCCAACGGGCGGACATGTCGACGCCCGGGACAATATGAATGCCCAGCCTCTCCCCCTTCTCCTTGCGAAGCGTGTCCAGCCACGCGTACGTCACCTCGCACCACTTGCGAGGTCGGCTGGTATCTATTCCGTCGGGTAGCGCAAAGGACACCCAGAGCCCTCCAGTGACGTGGGACGTGGTGGCATCGTGGTGGCATCGTGGTGGCATCGAACTTGTCCGCAACGATCCTGGCACGCTTAAAGCCGCTCTGCAGCAACGCTAAGGCTGTAGTGAGTCCGATCCCCCCCCCTTCTGCAATGACAACACGGCTTGGTAAAGGAGACGTGACGCCAGCGATGGGGGAGCCGTGACTCATTACATTGACGTTTGGTCAGAGTGCCGTCATCTGTTTCAAGAGGACACTGAATGTGGACGTTTGTGGCTACTGCAACGATGTGCGAGCGAATTGCTGACGCTAGGTAATATGGGGACGCAGGTTACCGAATTACCGAAAAGGCCAATACAGAAGTCCCTCAAAGTAAGCGTCACCTATTTACGTAATACCCCGCCATATCTGCTATGGTACATACAGGTTCAACTGGCCAATCACAAAATGCACTGATTTTGGATGAACTGCAGGATCGGCGGGAAAGATCAAATCCAGACCGGTCCGGCCTCTTCGCTAAGTAAACCATTGAAAGACTGAGAATGGAGATTAAATGTACGAGGTAACTCATGTTCCCGCTACGTACGCCTCCCTCCATGCACACTATCACTCTTTCAAGCGACCATGACCGCCAGCCCCATGCCGCACCGGATCCGCCTTAATATGGAGCAGAAGCTCGCCATGTGCAAGTATGCGAAGGGCGCGCCAAAGGCAAGCTGTCCAACACACAGCTCGCAGCGTGGGCAACACGTGCGTTCAAGCTGGAAAAATCTCTTTCACGCGATGCCGCTCGCAATGTTATCGCTGGGGAGTCTAAGTGGGCCGCTATGGAGCCCTGTCAGCTAGAGCGCAAGCAGCTCGTCAGCTGCCAAATCCAGGAGACGGACGCTCGCATTATGAAGGTCTTTAAGGCCATTGACGGCAAGGTGGAGGCTATCACAGGCAAGGTGATAAAGGCCATCGCTCTTCGCGTGAACGCGTATGGCGAGAACACCACGTTGAAGCTCTGTATTCGAATCCCGCACGCCATTCAAGCAGCCAGTGCCCAGGGCCGCATTTCCCTCGATGACTGGGGCTGGAGGAATCCACTCGCCGATCTCACACTTCACAACTCGGTGTCTGAGCCGCAAGTACCTTTCAACCGTCACTCCCAAGCATGAGCAAGCTCGCTTTCATCATCGTGTTCGTCATGCTCGCCACCACCGCAGTCCGTGGCATGCGACTGGGAGCCCGACGTGCCAATAATGTCGCCACTACTGAGGCCAAGTGCTGCCTGTGAGCGTATCGTGATCGTTAAGAGACCCACCCCATTGTAACACACCAGAAGGTAATGAAGTTGAAAGGTTGGGCAATCTCTTTGGGTATCTTAGAAGCTGTCATACAGGATCCGTGATCATCACTTTGTTCCGCAACCTTGTCATCCTCCGGCAACTTTACTTTCGGCGACCTTAACTTGGACATGTGCACAATAGGTTTCAGTAAGTCGGCCGCCGCAGCAAGGTCTTCTTTTGCTTCTAAGGCCACCGACAAACTCCATCGTTTGTCAATCGAAGTAACAGGTAACATATTGAGCCGAAGTCCAGATTCTGCCAAATACATCATGTGTCGGCAAGGTAGATGATGACTCTTGAATAATAAGCAGGTACATGTCCATTCTCCATCGTTGCACACAAATGTTTCATTCCCACAGTTGACCTTCCAAAACGAAACACTTCCAACAACTCGTTTGCACAAAGCGCCTGCCATAAGGTTGACGAAGCGCTCCCACTCCTTCTTGACCGTCGAAAATATATCCGCAGACAGTCTATTAGCCACAGCTCGCAAAAACTTTGGCACCGTCTTGGAGCACGTGAAGTTGAGTGCTGATGTCCAATAGTGAAAACAATTTTCTGCGTAATTGTCATTTGATGCTGAAGCAACCCAGCAATAGTCTTGTCAATTCTCGTTTTGTGACCAAGCAGCATCTTGACTTGATTCCAGTTTGACTCGATCCTATTCGTTGTGGTATTGCCAGCAGTAAAAGCCTTCCCTCTAGCAAAATTAGCCCACATGTCACGGCACGAGCTCCAGTTTTTATCGAAGTACGCAAAAAAGGCTTCGCGCTTCTGGTCCTTACAATACTGCCGCAGTGCATCGTAGTAGAAGTTGTATCTGGTACTAGAGGTACTAACATAAATCAAAGGCAATCACAAATTAGCCTCCACATACACGGTGAAAAGCAACCTTACTCACCTGTAAAGTAGTTTGATCATTTGGACCAGCAGTTCCTCACATTGCGAAACTCTTAGGCGATACAACGGACGCTTCATTACCTTCTTCCAGTAACTAATCGCATGGAACTGACATAACAGAACCTTGGCTCTCGGAAAGGCATCCTTTAATACGCCCCACTCAACAAAATCTTTGTCAATCACCACCGATTGAATGTGCTTCCAGCCCGAGTTCTTCTCCTTGAAGTAGTCCAAAATTCTGGACATTGTCAGTGCTTGCTCGTTGAGACAAATGAAATCAAAAACCGGAAACCCTCGACCCGTAGCTGTGGTGACAACCAAACTTCCTAAAGGTCAAAACCAAAACAAAGTTGAGTTAATCATACAGCAACTTTAAGTAGATAAGGTTGTTATACATCAGAATAAAGTTACAACAACCATAGCTGTACGCACCCAGATGATAGCCCAGATTATTCGTTCCGTGGGTAAAGTCCATCGCTAACGTCTCACCCCATCGCTCGAACATTAGCTTCTGCACTTTTGTCTGCAAAACGATCCCGGTTGTAACGCCAATTTGGTCTTGCATCACGAGAACATCACTGCCATCCAATTGGCGCAGCGCGTGCAGCATGTCCTTCAATCGGATTGCAGCAGAATCCCTCCCCATGATATTGCGAATGAGGTTGCGGGTCTGCTGTGGAGTAATCTGGCAGCCTATTATTTACATATACAGTCATACGAAGAACATAGTAGCAGACGTGTTAATTAAAATAAAAAATAAAATCTGACTTACATACCAATCCGCTCATTCAAAAAGCTGGAGATGTGCTTCGAAGAAACACGTGCATCCGCCAAGGTTCTCACGTCCTCACGATCCTGCTCGTCCAATGGTAAGGTCTTAGTCGTCAGATATGACGAGGCTTCAGACGCAGTGGTAGGGTGGGAATGGGTGTGATTCTGGACAAAGCAGATAGCGGTTGGTAACTATAATAACACCCATAATATCCGATAGCAAACCTCGTTGCGAATCTTGATAGTAAAACCCTCCGTAGATGTCCGGATCACAGCGGCTGTAAACCGAGCCTTGCACCCGCAATAGCGAATCTTGCGGTTGCGGTGTCCTTTAGAGCGAGAGCTCTGTGAAACCCCGTGTGTACAGCGAAAGATTCTGCTGGCCCAATGAAAGTCGGTGGGTATCTGATCGTCGTTTGTACTACACAATAAAGCAACACATTCACGAGTTAGGTTTTAGCACGTAAAAAGCAAAAGCAAAAACTACCTGTTGTAACACACTGTAGTTTGCGAGCTTCGAACCCGGAACTTGAGATTGTTTTGGTCCTTGTAGGTTTCAAGCACTTGTCAAACTCTTCCCAGCTGTGGATAGGGAGAGAAAAAAACGGCGGAACAACGTTGATGATCTCCTCACGGTCCAATTGCATGGACTTCAACTCGTCAATGTGTTTGCTTGACCTTTTTCGAGGAACATACTCCGGGCGCGTCGACTCCGGTATAGCAATGTCCTTCTTACAGTCTTTTGCCGTCTTGTCCCTCGGAATGTTTGCAAGGGGTGCGTCTGACACAGTTTTCTTATTCTTAAAGGGAGGAGGCGAATAGTGAGGAGAAAAGCTCCGCTCCTCGGTGGAGACGTGCGGTGAGTGCAGGCGTTTTGCGCCGCAAAACACTTTCCCCTTCCCGATTGCTAAAAACAACATTAACAGATGTGGTGAAGATGTGGTGAGTGCCTCAATTAATGGCAACCATAATGTTAAAGCAACAATATCCAACGTACTGGACGGCTTTTGCTGCATCTTTCTGGCCCTCTTTATCTGCGATTTCCCCTTGCGACCTAACACACAACATATACGCTGTTAGAACCATTAACGTTTCACATAAAATGACGTCTCCATCGTACTCTGTGGGGCAGGATCATCCAAGTCATCAGAAGACTGGTCGACGTCTTCAGACTCTTCGCTGTCGTCTGGCAGAAAGTCGGCATCGCTGCTGTCGTCTTTTTCCATGCCAAGAGCGGCATACATGTAGTTCAGCTCTGTCTGCTTTCCCTTTCGCAGGGCCCGCCCTAAAATGTTTGTACAAGAAAGGTTAGAAAATTTTAAAACAGTATCTGCAGCAGATCAGTTCATCCTAACCATGTGGCGGCGCACCCTCTGCCTCACTCATAAGCGAGTCTTCTTGGAGGGCTGCGGATGGAACTCTCCTCGCGCTTCCGTGTGCGGTCCAGCTGTGCTGGGCTCACCGATCGCGCCGCCCGAGGTCTGGATGCTTCTGGCGTCGTGCAGTTCTGGAAATATGAGGCCCTCCGCTGTCGTACTTAACGTGATCACTTCAAATTCGTATCTAAGCGAATACGGTAATTTAGAGAAATAAGTTTCCTTGAAATTTTTGAAACTGAAATACAGCAACCATATTTGTCTCAGATTGGCTAAAACAAATTTAAGTTAAGGTTGCACGAACCACTCCGTGGAAGGGAGGATTATTTAGTAAATAATTGACCTGGCTTACTTTGAAAGTGAGCAGGTTGTTGTAAAAAATGTGAGCGTAATCCGAAGAGAAAATTGAGCACGATTTTTGCAATGTTCGACTCCCCCTATTAATTGTATTATAGTACGTACAGCCCAAATTGGGCCCCAATAGGGATTAATTCGAGATTATGTGCGCACACCAAAAGTAGGTATCGATTCGATACAAATTTCAAATGAGAAGGTTTAATTCTTCTACCAATTTGTATAAACTTCACAGGTTTCACTCCAAGTAAAGGTTTGGCATGGGTATCAGCTTATAGAAACTTGGTGTACGAAAAAGATATTGCTTACTTTACAAATGCTTGGAGATGC